AGGATGGCAGTACGGTGGCGCAACTGGTAGAGCTGCTGCCTCTCAGTGAGCAGGTCCTTGGTTCAAACCCCGGTCCAGGGGCCTTTCTGGGTGGAGTTTGCATGTTCTCTCCGTGCATGCGTGGGTTTTCTCCGGGTACTCCGGTTTCCTCCCACAGACCAAAAACATGCATGTTAGGCTGATTGGTAACTCTAAATTGTCCCTAGGTGTGAGTGAGAGAGTGAATGGTTGTTTGTGTTGTTTGTTTCTATGTGTCTCTGTGATGGACTTGCGACCCGTCCAGGGTGTCCCCCGCCCCTCGCACAGTGATTGCTGGACATGGGCACCGGCGACCCCCGTGACCCAAAATGGAATAAACGGGTAAAGATAATGGATGGATGGATGAAGAAGATTAAAGGGATAGTCCACTCAACTTTGGAGTGATGTTCTGTCTAATAATTATTTATATTTAGTATCCTATCAGCCATGACATCAGACATGGAGCACAAAGTATAGAGAAAAAGGCAAAAGTATTTGTCTAGACTAATGGACAAACAAAAGACAATCAATCAGTTTTCATTAAATACAGTTCTGTGATTATTTTGGCTTAATCTTTGTTCATTAGAAGCTTGTATCTGTAGAGTTTCCATCCATCCATCCATCCATTCATCTGTCATCCATCCGTCTGTCATCTGTCCATCATCCATCCATTCATCATCCATCCATCCATCTGTCTGTCCATCCGTCATCCATCTTTTTGTCCATCCATCCATCATCCATCCATCCATCATCCATCCATCCATTCATCTGTCATCCATCCATCTGTCATCTGTCCATCATCCATCCATTCGTCATCCATCCATCCATCTGTCTGTCCATCTGTCATCCATCTGTTCGTCCATCCATCATCCATCCATTCATCATCCATTCATCCATCTGTTTGTCCATCCATCCATTCATCATCCATCCATCCATTATCCATCCATCATCCACCCATCCATTCATCATCCATCCATCCATCCGTCCGTATGTCCATCCATCATCCATCTGTCCATCCATCCATCATCCTTCAATTCCTCATCCATTCACGTCCATCCATCATCCATCCATCATCCGTCCATCATCCACCCTTCCATTCATAATCTATCCATCCGTACGTCCATTCATCATCCATCTGTCAATCCTTCAAACATCCATCCATTCATCATCCATCCATTCATCATCCCGCTGTCCATGCATCCATCATCTATGCATTCATCATCCATCCATCATTCACCCATTCATCTATCCTTTCATCCATCTATCATCCATCCATCATCCAACCATCAATCATCCATCATCATACATCCATTCACCCATCCATCCATCATCCATCCATCATCTATCCATCATCCATCCATTTATCCATTGATTCATCCATCCATCATCATCCATCCATCCATCCATCATCCATTCATTTGTCCATCCATCTATACATCCATCCATCCATTATCTATACCCACCTCTTCCTTTTCAGGTTACAGGGGTCACTGGTGTCCATATCCAACAGTCACTGTGCAAGAGGTTGGGGACACCCTGGACAGGTCTCCAGTCCATTATGTGGACACCCTGGACAGGTCTCCAGTCCATCACAGGGACAAACGAGACAAACAATCATTCACTCTCTCACTCTCACCTAGGGACAATTTAGAGTTACCAATCAGCCTAACATGCATGTTTTTTGGTCTGTGGGAGGAAACCCACACAGCACGAAGAGAACATGCAAACTCCACCCAGAAAGGCCCCCAGCCAGGATTTGACCCGGTGACCTTCTTGCTGAGAGGCGGCAGCTCGACTAACTGCATCACTGTGCCGCCCTGTTGATTTTTTTATTTTATTTTATCCTTTGATATTTTAAAATACTTAGCCCCCAGACATGTTGGCACTTTACGTAGTAAAACGAGGGTGATGTAAAACTTCAGGTCAACAACAGAGGCTGGGAACACAGTGTGATGAACCGTGGTGATTAGTTGTTATTGTTAAAGACAAAAGAACAGAATCTGTGTAGCCATCATATTTTCTGTTTTGAAATCTTGTAGAGCTAACACAACTTCAGATTACTGGAGTTTTATTAGGCAGATTTTAGACATCATGCAAAAAGTTTAATGGCTGTTGTGAACTTGTTTAAAGTCCTGGGTTTGCTTTCATTACAGTTGGGTGTGGATGGCGCACATTTTGGGTTTCATCCACCTCTGACACATGCAGTGGTATAGATCAAAAACAAACACGTGTTCAGATACCTTTCAACCCTCACCTGTGATCATGAGGCTGGATCATGACAGATAGAATGACATCCTGAATACAAGTGGCTGAAATGAGCTTCCTTCATAGGTTGGCTCGGTTCAGCATTAGAGATGGGGTGAGGAGCTCAAAATGGAACCTCTGCTCCACCGCATCAAAAGGAGTCAATTGAGGTGGTTCGAGCATCTGATTGGAATGTCTCCTGGACTCCTCCCTTTAGAGGTTCTCTGGGCATGTCCCACTGGAAAGAAGTCCTGGGGCAGACCTAGATTTAACTGGAGAGATTGTGCACCTTCTTTGGCCTGAGAACGTCTTGTGGTCCCCCAGGAGGAGCTGGAGAGTCTCACTGGGGAGAGGGAGGTCTGGGTTTCTCTCCAGGACTTATTGCCTCTGTGATCCAACTACAAATAAATGGTTAATGGTAAATGCACTGTACTTATATAGCACATTTCTATCTAATCCAGATACTCAAAGCTCTTTACAACACAGTATGTGCCTCATTTATATCTACACACACACATTCGTACAGCACTCTACTACATCTCTACAAAAAGAATCAAACAAATTCTGCTATAAAGAGACTAATCAGTGCTTTTTAGATCACATTCATACACAGATGTGATACACCTCAGAGGTAATGACCCCTGACCCTCCCATTGCAGGACAATTGCTCTAACCACTCTGCCACTGCTGCCCCTGATAACATGGAGATGGATGTATTTTAGGCAAAAACACTCTTCGAATATGTCTGATAATTACTAGCCAGCAGTGGTGCGCACACCTAATCATAAAGTTAGCTTCGCTAATCACTAATTGGCTAACTAAAACAAATTAGCTTTGCTAATGCAATACCGCTAAACAGATAAAAAAATATCTGAAGGTAACACTAAATCATTAACTTTTATCATACACTGCTGTCGCTGACTGTAAGAATGTCTGTATTTGTACAACGTTGTCATTGAACACGACTCAAAACGGTTCATGAATCACAAGTCAAGTGTCCATATCTATGTTCAGAGGTGAATTTTCTGAAATTAACCCGGTCCATCAGAACCAAAGAGGCGGAGCAGAACTTTGCTGTGCTGAAGCAGAGTGATGCGTTCAGTGTGTGTCGGACGTTTCCCTCGTGTCATTTACTTTAATAACTTAACTCAATTTAATGATTCTCTTTGAGGATTTTTTTACTTTTATAACTAACTACAAAGTTGCTGTGTGTCATCATCAATATTCTCTCAATAATAAATCTATTTGAATTAAAGTAAACGTGTGAAATGTGTGAGAGAGTCACGTCCAAGAGACTGCGTGAGCGTTCCAAAGAATGCTGGGTAGGAATTATGTGTGCAATGTTTCTGACTGTTTACAATATTTCTGAATGTGAAAATGGGTTTTTCATGTTATTTTCCAGTTCTGGTTTGGTTTAATTTATGTTAAAGTCTCTGTTGTTGGCTGTAAACTGACACCAGGAGTCAGAGACTGTTTGTGGTAGATATGAGGGGGAAAGAAAACACAACAAAGGTCAATGATGTCACCGGGTGGTTTTTAGCTTTGCATAGCATAGCTACTTGAAAATCCCCATTCTCCTGTATGTTTTTAGTGTGGAGAATAGTCTTTAAAAAACTAGCGGATTTGAATTTACTGGATTTAAATTTAGCAGGAGCTACTTCTGCTAAAGGTTTTCAAAGTCAGAGAAATCTGTAATCTGCTACATGGAAAGTTAGCTCAGCTATTAGTGGATTAATGGAACCATGCCCACCACTGCTAGCCAGCCCCCCCAAAAAGTATTTCTTACATTAACCTAATATCTCTTTGATTCTGGTGAAGCACCCACACCTGCTTCCACCCTCATTTGCCCTTGAGCAAGGCTCTTAACCCCCCCCATCTTTTCCTCCGGGTGCCCTAGATGGCAGCTCTCTGCTCCACACAGAGGGCTGTGGTAGCTCTGTGGTCTGGTTGTGTCAGGAAGGGCATCCGGCATCAAATCAATTGCCAAGTCTTCATGCGACTTAGTTCGCTGTGGCGACCCCTGAAGAAGGGAGCAGCTGAAAGATAAAAAAGCACTAACCCAATATCTCTTTGATTTTGTTTGTCTGCACCACACAGTTCAGATCCAGAAACGTTGTTCTGGGTTCTGAGGGGCAGAGGAAAACTCTGTAATTACTCCTACTCCTTGAGCATTCGGGGAGGACTCAAACATTGAATTGTGTTTGGGTCATGTGTCCGATGAAACATGAAAGTCTTCTGTGTCTGACTATTGTTGGTCAAAGGTTATTCCATTTATTCTACAATGGCCACTTTAATTTTCCCCGCGCTTCCTAAAACTAACCTTGTCAGGCTTAACTTTATTCCCTCTTGGATTGGAGAACTTCATCTACATTCCATCCCATATTGTTTTCCTGGTAATCAGTGTCAGATGTTTGCAGACTCCCATGTGTTCCTCAGCTGCCTGTTTTCTCCACACTTGCTGACTCTGGATCTGTGGACCTCAGTCCAGTTCCACTTTGTAGAGGGTTTTGTGGCAGCAGCAGGTCAGCCTTCTCCACTATGATGTCATTAGTTTCTGGTTGTGAAATACTTGAGGTCTTCCCTAAACTCAGCCCTCTCCTGTAACTTTAGCATCTTTTATTTCTTAGTCATGGTGTTTTATACTAGAAGGAACTTGGGAAATAAAACAGTCTTAGTTCTAACACACTGTTGATGAGACTTCTTTACGACTAACATTTATTGTTTTTCTTTGTCGACAGAAAGCAGCATCTCTGAGTCAGCTGCCCGTCGAAGACCTCAAAGACCCTCTTCCTCCTCACTGGAGATGTTACATGTCTCCACAAGGTCGGCGGTACTATGTTGACACCACGACCAACGGTAAGACAAACAAAAATGTGACACACTTTACTTATAGTGCAGGTTAAATCTAAACTTAGGTCGCATGGTACAAACTGCAACGAAGGTGATAGGAAGGACTGATCACCCCTCCCTGCAGTCTGTCTATGATGAGTCTGTCCTCAGACTTGCTCGGAGGGTGCTGTCTGATCCCGCTCATATCCTCAACTCACAATACGAACTGTTACCATCTGGCAAACGGTTTAGAATCCCTGCTTGTAGATTTAACATATTTTAAAATTGATTTGTCCCTACATCAATCAGATTGTTAAATAAAGCATTAGACCTGTCGCAGTAAACAATAAATCAATTAATCGCATGATAAATGAAAATCCATCCATCCATCCATTTTCTTTACCCGCTTATTCCATTTTGGGTCACGGGGGTCGCTGGTGCCCATGTCCAGCAATCACTGTGCGAGGGGCGGGGTACACCCTGGACGGGTCGCAAGTCCATCACAGGGCCACATAGAGACAAACGAGACAAACAACCATTCACTCTCTCACTCACACCTAGGGACAATTTAGAGTTACCAATCAGCCTAACATGCATGTTTTTGGACTGTGGGAGGAAACCGGAGTACCTGGAGAAAACCCACGCATGCACGGAGAGAACATGCAAACTCCACCCAGAAGGCACCTGGACCGGGGTTTGAACCAAGGACCTGCTCGCTGAGAGGCAGCAGCTCTACCAGTTGCGCCACCGTGCTGCCATAAATGAAAATGATCGACCTCATTTTCATTTATCAGCTTTATCGTTTCTTTGTCTGTCTCTTTCTACTGGACACTGGATGACTACGGGCTCAACTCCGGTGCTCTTCACTGACCCCTCCCTTTCTCTTTAAAATCTGTTTTAACCGACCAAAATCACGTTTTTGGTTCGTTAAAAGCAGCTAAGCTGAGATGCTAAGCTACGAGCTAAGCTAACAGGCCGACCTCGACCCTCCCATTTTACTTAAAGAGACACGCTGCTCGCTCCCTCACTGTCCATTCTTCAGTTCACACAGTCTTATACTGCCATCCAGTGGTCAAAAAAGGTAGTAAACACAACAATTAACAAACTTTTCTTCTTAAATTTGACAATAATTACTAATTATTGTCAAATTTCATACAATATTATTGTTTATCGCAATAATTTCTGAGACAATTAATCGCCCATCAAAATTTGTTATTGTAACAGGCCTAGTTGGCATAGAGTCTTTTCTCATGCTGCTGATGCTCTGGCCTTTTTTCTTGCTTCGTTTACTTGCTGGAATGTATGTGGGAATGTGTAATGTGTGTTTTTATTGAGCAATAGGTGTTTTTTTATTTTTTGTTTTATTTTATTGTGTTGTTCACATGATTTTATTGTTTTGTAGTGTATTTAATTGTGGGAGAAGCTTTGTTTAGCACACAATGTTCAAGACAAATTTCCCCTTAGGGACGATAAAGTATACATCTATCTATCTAAAACACAAGGATCACTCAGGAACAGTTAATGAAAGGGTTAGATTTTTCATGGTAAATTGTAAATAGACTATACTTACAGTATATAGCACCTTTCTATCTTATCAAAACTAGTTACACTACAATCTGTATCCTCATTTACCCATTCATACAGCACTCTACTAGATCTATACAAAGATTAATCAGAGCTTTAACACATACACTGATGGCACACACATCAGAGGCAATGAGGGGTTCAGTGTCTTGCCCAGGGACACTTCTGGTGGAACTGAACCCCCAACTCTCCCATTGGAGGACGACTGCTCTAACCACTCAGCCACACCTGCCTACGATCACAGTCCCATAATCCGATTCCCACGTGTGGGAATCGAACCCACCCCCTCCCAAACTCTTTACAACACCATTGTGTGCTCCAACTCGGGGCGTAACCTCAGTCGTTCCCAACCTTGGTCCTCGAAGGACACTCCTGCATGTTCTAGTGGTTTTCCTGCTCTAACACACCTGATTCAGTGATTTAATTACTTCATCAAGTTTTGCAGAAGCCTGTTAATCACCCATTTACTCAGATCCAGTGTCTCAAAGCATGAAAACAACTAGAACAGGCAGGATAGTGTTCTTTGAGGACCAGGGTTAGGAACCAAAGCTCTAAGCCAACGGGACCGTAATCTGTAGAGTTTACAGAAATGAAGAATAAATCAAGAGAAAATACGTGTTTGACTGCTTGTTGGAAAGAGATACTGGGAAAAGGGTATCCCACAGTTTAGATCAGTCACTTTACACACACACATCCTGAACTGAACCCCAGCTGTTGCTCTGAACAAGAATCAAACAGTTTTCACACTGTTCCTGCAGCACAACTTGATTTTCTGGAGTAAGTGTTTTTAATGTTGGCCCAGCGTGAGTGGGATCAGTGGTGTCAGAAAGAGCCACTCTGGACCTGGAAAGACTGATGCTGCTTGTTTCTCTCGACACAATAACCCCTCTTTGTGTCCCTGAGCTCACACTAACACACACACAGCAGACCGTTTAATACGCTTGTCCCTCACACTCTGCAGGTTCACCTGCTTTTACCGTCCATGAGAGGCTGCGCTGTAAACCCTGAATAATGATTCTAATATCTTGACTTGGCAACTCTTGAAACACAAAGTAATAAAGGTGAGATTGAAGTGAAAGCAGCCCCACTCAGGGGCACCACCAAGGAGGGGCCAGGGTGGGCAATGGCCACCCCTAAAATATGGTGGCTCCCCCATTACCCCCCCGGCTGGCTTTAATTACCCTATTTAGATTTAGTAGAACCTCATAAAGATAAAGACAAACACTATTTTTGAGCATTTGAGAGTTAAAAATAGAACAATGTATTTTATTTTAAATTAAACAACTTCAAATCTACTCTCTCTGAATAAGAGCAACTCTTCTAAAATTAATGTAATCAACATTAGGATGCAGGGACTCATCAGGATAAAGGTAAATTTAGGAGATGACAAGTGTCAATAAGTTGAGTAGTGACCGTGCTTTTCTCAATCATAATGTCAAATAAACAAGCGTTACGCTGATGTAGACCATTGCTGAAGGATTTGAACAGTGAATGTTTGTAGTTTTTGAGATGTGTGTCTTTTAGGACTGGAATTGAAAAGAGAATGTAAGTAAACCTGAATGTTTTTGGAGCAACATATTCAAGTGGGTACAAGTTACACTGTGGAAAATAACAGAGGTAGTTGATTGATTGATTGATTGATTGATTGATTGATTGATTGATTGTGTTTTTCTTGTCTGAGGCTGCACAGATCCTGATGAATGGAGGGAGCAATTTTATCAGTCACCAGGCACAGAGGTGGAGCCAGGGGGTGGACACTGGTGGCCTTAGCCACCATAGAATGATCTCGACCACACCAATCATTCAAGAAAACTGTACTTCAAACAATATAAATACTAAAAAATATATTTAAAAATGTTAAATCAGGTAATCTGGACAGATTCTTTTTGGTTGAAAAGTTTCGTCTTTCATCTGAAAGACTTCTTCATTCCGAAGCCTGTCAACAATCTCTGTCGTATAAATAGCACCTTTTCAAAGTGGTTCATACCAGTTTGCTGTGGCATTCCCAGAAACTGACCTTTCACATGTAAAAGGGGACCATCAGTTGATCATCAGTGCATAAAATCAAATGTTATGGGCCGGATGGCTGCTTGCTACTCACCGAACTTTGAAAATATGCTATTTATACGACAGAGTTTGTTGGCACTGACGAAGTCTTTCAGATGAAAGAAGAAACGTTTTGTCCTAGAAGAATCTGCCCAGGTGACATGACTGAAGTTTTTTGTGATTTATTTACCTGGATGATTGAGCTTATGTTCATCAGGACTAAACAACATAGTTTCCTCAAATGATTGGTGGTCAGTTTATTTATATATTTGGCAGTGGCCATCTTGAATTTTTACATGGCAATCTAATTTTTGATCGTAACCTTTCTTACAGCTTGATGCAGCCGCATAACCAAAATGAAAGTTGGCTTGTTGCTTATTTTTTTTATTTATCCAGCTCACAAAGTAAATATACATACATATATGGTGGCAGATATTTTGGATTTTGATCTGGCAACCCAATTTTAAAAAAAGCCTTTCTAATGCCAAGATGCAGCCACACATCAAAATGGAAGTTAGTACCTCATGTATTTTTCAAGTTGCCATGCTCACAAGCTGCACAGACAGATGGACTGATGAGGAATATTTTCAATTCCACCTCTTTGCTCCATGATGGGGGACAAAAAGTAACTAAGGTAGACTTTTGTATATCAGAAAGTTATTCCCTGACTCCTGTATTGCTGTTTTTGTTAAATAACTTACTTATGAAGTTCAAGTTGTTCAAGTTCAAGTTGTGTTTATTTGTTAAATGCCGGTTAACTCAGGGTTATCAGTACAATGAAATGCTCAGGATGAGAAGAACCAGTTTGACTCGCTAAAAAAAAAATCAAAGAAAAACCAACAAGAACAACATAACCAGTTCCCTGAAATTCTGTTCTGGTGTTTGGTTTCGGTGCCCCCTCAGAATATTTAGGGGCCCCCACATGGCCACCCACCCCCATTAAAACATTTCTGGAGACGCCACTGGCCCCACTGATCACTGGGACAGAGTGAAAACAGGCCTCTTGCAGGTTTTCTGAACTGAAACACAGTTTTAAAATTTCACTCTTTGTTATGCAGCAGCATCTTTAGATGGTGATATTTAGACTTTTATATAAGTGTCTGAAGATGTTAGATTACCGTACTTTCCGCCGAACACATCGCACCGCTGTATAAGTCACATCAGTCCAAATAAAGTGGAAAATATAAACCATATAAGTCACGTCTATTATGCTTCACCACTGATGCATTGTGTTTGTTATGCGTCACCGCTGACCACCCAGAAACGTTGTGTTGAGCCAAAAATCGATTGACTGCCAAGTGGCAGCTGCGGGAGTGTGCACGGGAGGACTTTAACAAGAATTTAACAAGATTAACACTTAAAAACAATTATTTGTTTGCTTGACATTATAGTAAAGG